AACTTGTATGTAAACTCTACGTGTGAACCCACAGTCTCTTGGTTAGAGACACAACACGTAGCTATGCAGAAGACGTTAGCCAGGGTCCACACAGCTTTAATTCCCGTAGCTATGCAGAAGACGTTACTTCAGTAACGTCTGGCGCTAGCCAGGGTCCACACAGCTTTAATTTGGTATTTGTTTGTTTGTGTGTTTGTTTGTTTGTTTGTGTCACGCCTGGCGCTATCCGTATCTGACGGCAAAAAAGCATAGGGATGTTATAAATTTTTTAATTCTCCTATTTTTTTCAGGCATATCCTGGGATTCGAACCCGCACTATCGCCCTACATGCATTCCCCCATACACTTCGCATTCATACCCATTCTTCCAAGTTGCTTCACGTTATTATCTTGCGTTTGAAAGCCCTATTTGAATATTGCGGCCAGCTGTATGTGGCCAGCTGTGTTTGATGGTACGGTACGGTACGGAAGACGGTGTCATATTACCCTCGATCGTACCTGTCCCGTACCTATCCCCTACCGTACCGTGCCATCAAAGACGGCTGGCCACAATGCATATTCAAATAGGGCTTTCAAATGCAAGATCACAATGTGAAACAACTTGGAAGAATGGGTATGAATGCGAAGTGTATGGTAGAATGCATGTAGGGAGATAGTGCGGGTTCGAATCCCAGGATATGCCTGAAAAAATTAGGAGAATTGAAAAATTTATAACATCCTATGCTTTTTTGCCGTAAGATATGGATAGCGCCAGGCGTGACACAAACAAACACACAAACAAACAAATGTATGCGAAGTGTATCGGGGGATGCATGCAGGGCGCGCGATAGTGCGGGTTCGAATCCCAGGTTATGTCTTAAAAAAAGGATTTTTTTAAAGAATTTATAACATCCCTATGCTTTTTTTTGTCTAGGTCATCAAGGCAAAAAAAGCATAGCGTAGGGCCCTGAGCTTCCAAGCTCTCTCGTTTGGTGTTTGTTTGCTTGTTTGTTTGTTTGTTTGTTTGTGTCACGCTTGGCGCTACCCCGTATCTGTCCCGTACCGTACCATCAAACACAGCTGGCCACATACAGCTGGCCGCAATATTCAAATAGGGCTTTCAAACGCAAGATCGTAACGTGAAGCTACTTGGAAGAAGGAGTATGAATGCAAAGTGTACGGGGGAATGCATGTAGGACGATAGTGCGGGTTCAAATCTCTGGTTATGCCTAAAAATAGGAGAATTGAAAAATTTATAACATCCCTATGCTTTCTTTGCCGTCATCAAGGCGGTAGACGGTGTTGTATTACCCTCGACCGTACCTGTCCCGTACCTGTCCCGTACCATACCGCACCATCAAAGACGGTTGGCCACAATGCATATTCAAATAGGGCTTCAAATGAAAAGATCATAACGCGAAGCAACTTGGAAGAATTAGTAGGTATGGGAAGTGTATCGGGGGATGCATGCAGGGCGATAATGCGGGTTCGAATCCCAGGTTATGTCTTAAAAAAAAGGAGAAATTTATAAGAATTTATAACATCCCTATGCTTTTTTTGTCTAGATCATCAAGGCAAAAAAGCATAACGTAGGGCCCTGAGCTTCCAAGCTCTCTCGTTTATTCTTCTATTCCATGATGGCAAGATGCCGATAAGGAAGATTGATAATTGTGATGGAACTGATACTAGCCAGAAACAGCTAGATGGAAATTAATCCAGGGATGCTATGACCAATGCGGGGACAATAGCAGGGATGATCGAGATAGTTAAAGACACGTTTGATATATCAGAAACCAAGAGGGTGTGCAGAGCAGGAACAGGTACTGCTCAAAAGAAGGCTGGATGTATTGTGTCGGAAAGAATTTCTACGAGGTTGGGCTGTGATGCCGATAGGGAGTGAGTTGTAAAGGGCGAGGGCACTGTTGATGGGGTAGTCTCGGTGCCTGTTTGTGTGTGTGGGAGTCCGATGGAGTAGGCCCTTGTCTGTCGAAGGGTATATGGTTGGTGTTGATGTTGTGGTGCAAGATGTGGTTGTTGCAGATGTGGTGGGGAGGTTTGGTGGTGGATGTCCCATGCTGGTAGAGCTTGCTTAACAAGGAGTCGTGAGCTACGGGTGGGGAGCTTTGCATGATGGAGGAGAGAACTGTATTGAACTGGTGCAAAGAGGGGAATCCGAAGGCGAATGTGTATAGCACGGCGCTGAATTCTCTCCAGTGTGTCCCGCTGTTGCTGTGCGGTGTCGGAGAGGGCAAGGCTGCCGTATTCGAGAACGGGTCGGACGTATGTCGTGTATATTGATAATAGGCTGAAAGCATTCAGTTTGCCATGTGTCTTGTGGAAGTTGGTGCAGTAATTTCTTGGCTTTGTTGGTAGCTTGTATAATATGTTGGGTCCATCACATATCATCTTAGAGTGTAACGCCCCAAGGTGCCTATGTTAGTGGAACTGCTGGAGAAGGGTCGAGTGGAGTGTGATGTGTTAGATGTGTTGGGTTGGAAGGAAAGGACGACGGTTTTCGTGGTGTTGACAAGGATATGCCAATCATTCAACCACCTTCCTGCTGCGTCAACGGCGCGTTGGAGGAATGCAGCTGATAAATCCCTTGTGTGGTGCGCCGTGATGAGTGCCGTGTCATCCACAAACTGACTGCATTTGGTGTGCAAGTTTGTACATGCTGGGAGGAGGTCGATCGTGTACACGAGGAAAAGAAGAGGCCCCAGGGCAGAGAGTACTGCAGCTGGAATTGATTTCCATGACGACATAGTGGAGCCAGCCTTGACGCGTTGTCGGTGGCGAGTCGGGTAGCTTTTGAGCCAGGCAAGGGCAATGTCACGGACACCAAGGTGCTCGAGTCTTGCCAGGAGGCCGGCATACCAGATTCAGTCAAATGCCTTTCATAGATCAAAGAAGCACACTCACACAGGCTGACCGGCATCTCGGCTGGCGGAGATCTCATGAACTAGACGGGAGAGCTGAAGTTCAGTGCTGTCCTTGAATCGAAATCCAGATTGGTCGTCTGGTAGGTGGGGCTCGATGTGGGTATAGAGGCGTTGGTGGACAATCCTCTCCTGAACTTTGCTGACAACACTCTGGAGCGAGCTTGGCCTGTAGCTGGTGATCTCTGCACAAGAGGCTTTCTTGTGCAGAGGACTGATAGTGGCATCGCGCCAATCTTACGGCTGCTCGCCTCGCACAAATGACTCATTGAAAAGCGTTGCGAGGGAGCATGAGATTTCGGCTGCAGGGATCTTTTTAAAAGCAATTTCGTTGGGAGGCCATCGTATCCAGCCGACTTCCGGAAATCAAGAGCAGAAGAGGGTTGCTCTAATGGAAACAATCCAGTTATACTTAGCAAGGTGTTTGGGGCTTCCGTCATGGATTTGCAATAATTCATGTGTACTTTGTCTACTGGTCTGAAACGGGACGGCCTGGGATCACGTGTAGCAGATTTCTCACCTACTTCAATTTGTGCGAATAACTGACTTTCCGAATCATTCCACTGCAGCCGCGTACAGCAATACACACTCTGTGGGCGTCGTCCAGCCCAAGTAACTGAAATGATGATGGTGATAAAGCAGTGGCAAAACCTCCCTTTTTGCAGCTGTTGAAGGGCTGCTGCAGAAGGCTAGCCAAGTGGCTGAGGTGTGTGAACAAGTCTAAAGTAAAATTTCTTATCCATCGCATCAACTAGTGCTTGTCGCTTAAGCGGGATTCACAGAAGCTTTTTTGCGATGCGACACGCGATGCGACAGACGCGAAACCGGGAAAACCCCAAATCGCAGCCATGTCGCACCCCACGCAACTGCCGCAACTGGGCCATCTCAGGCCATCGCAGAAGTTGAGCTTGGCTCAACTTTTGCGATGCGATGCGATGCGACAAGCGATTTGGTGTACGATTTTGACCTTTTCTACAGCAAAGTTGTACAAAGGTGCAAGAGTTACCTATAAATTTTTTCAAGTTGTGTCAAACCGCGCGAATATCATGGTGACGTACCCAAATCAGCAAAACTTTGTCGCATCGTTGACTTCTTCTGTGAATGGTATTTCGCGAGTTCGCATCGCACGCGTCCGTCGCAGATCGCGTGTCGCATCGCAAAAAAGCTTCTGTGAATCCCGCTTAATTGTCTTTCGATAATGTTCTGTTTTGAGTGGGAAAACTTGCAATAACATTCATCTTGCATATGCTCCAGGTACATATGTGCCTAGACACCATACCTGGGATGTTGAGAGAGAATGCATTTATAGTTGGTAACACGGAAAACATGTAAACCGACCAAATACACCACTTGATGTGGAGAGCGCTCGCACTCGCACAAGGAAGTTTTCCGGAGCCCTATAGTCCATTCATAAAAAGATGGGCCCTGGCTCTGGCGAGCTCCCAATTTCTGCTATTTTATGGTACGTGGTGCAGTGCTGCGAAATTTGAAACTTCAAAAGGGTCCAAAAAAGGTACCTCAACTGGGGTTGGAACCACACAATGTACTCGTACTGTTGCCAGTAGAGTGAAACGGCCTGGATTTTCCCAATTCAGTTCTCTTGGAGCAAATTTGGCCGAAATCCTATTCTTGTTACGGTTTGCTTTTTGGAGAAATAGACTTCAGAAACATAATTGGAAGAGTATTCCATAGGCGATTGCCAAAAAAATTCTAAAAAAACTGAAAGTTTGACCCATTAATGGCCAAAAGCTAGAAGTCCATCTTCTTATGAATGGACTGTAGCTTTTTATTACTTCAAAACGTAGGACTGTCATGCCACGGATGGCGCACCAGTTCAAAGCAGGTCTGGTGTACATCTCTGTGGGAGCGCTTCTGATCCTCAAAACTAGAAGGAGCCGAAAGGTAGAAATTCCCAAATCAGCGCAAATACTGCTGCAACCATTTACGTGTAGCTGATAGCATCGAAATAGTGGTTCGAAATATTTCTTGTCCAGTAAGTAACGAATAAACAATTATAATCATTTTAGCACTATCGGGCATGTGGTTGTTGAGCTGATATGCACCTTTTAAACTTTTGTTCTTGTAGGAGCACTGAAGAAACCACCTCCATACTTCTCCAATACCTGACCTGGAAAAATTCATCTCTGATTATGGTGAGTAATGTGTGATTTCAGAAATGTCTGTTCGCTTTCCTCTCTGGAATTATTACTTGCATGGGCTGTAGTACTGTGGGTGGCAATGTATGTGACCATAGAGAACCCAAGCTGCATGTTTACTCGTTACTTCAAACCTAAACTAGGTATAGCCTCGACTTAGGGCCCTGGAGCCGGTATAATGTAACAGGCTATTGAGTGTTATGTGCTTCTGCAGTGATTTGCTGCACTGCCACTGTTGTGTCTCTAACCAAGAGACTGTGGGTTCACACGTAGAGTTTACATACAAGTTTATTCTACGGTTGCAAAGCAATAAGAAGCGTTGAGGTATGATTGTGCTAGAGGATATAGGAGTTGTATCCCGGGTGCGGGATGCGTTGGTTGTTGGGTGGCAGTACAATGAATTGCTATAGAGAGTTCATGCCTAAGCGGTTGTGGTTTTAGGGTGGATCAATAGTACTTGCAATTAGATGAATACATGTCTGGTACATACACTACATTCCTCCCCTAAATGTTATGGTACATGTTGAGCTATGAGGTATTCCTATACGGCATAACATTTAATGCACAAGAAGAAGAAGCGGATGAGCTGAGAGCACGGGACAGCAATTGTGTGAGCAAGAAGCAATTCAGTCTCTCAGGCGAGCCGGCAGGACTCGGGCTCTCGGCGGGTTACGGCGGGGTTCAGTCGTATCTTGTGCCAGCGGCGACTGGACCTGCTGCGTTGCCGTAGTTGCAGCTACTGGTGTTTGCGCAGGCGGAGGTGTTGGAGTAGCAGTGGCTTGGACACTGGGTGGTGTCGGAACACTAGCTGGCACATGAGCAGTCGGAAAGCACAAACTGTGATCCGGTTCTGCCACGGACGGCAAAGGCGCTGTGTTCATCGGTACGGATGATTTCGGAGCGGAGTCGGCTGATCGGAGCTGTTCAACATGGCGCCTCCATTGCTGGTCTGGGCCAACTTCCACTGTATAGTGGCGGGAGCCGTGTACCGCTTGCACTGTGCCCTGAATCCACGGGTGTGGTGCGTTGGTGCGGTAGTCACGTACCATGACGGTGTCATCCACAGCAAACGTGCGCTCACGGTTCGCTGATCTTGCACTACGCTGAGCTGTCTGTTTCTTAGCAACAGATGCCTGGACACTGGGTTGAACCAGCGACAGCCGAGTGCGTAGCTCCCGGTGCATTAGCAGGGATGCTGGTGTGGCATTCGTTGTAGCATGGGGTGTGGTGCGATAGGCCAACAGGAAGCGAGGCAAGAACTCAAGCGGTGCTGTGGCAGAATGGGACCTGAGCGCCTGCTTCATTGTACGCACAAATCGTTCAGCCAACCCGTTAGTCGCTGGGTGGTACGGTGCTGAGAACGTGTGCGTTATGCCGTTGGCTTCTGTGAAACGGCGGAACTCATCTGCAGTAAACTGCGGGCCGTTGTCACTCACGATCTGGTCCGGCAGGCCATGTTGAGCAAACACTTCTCGGAGACGGCGTATGGTAGCCGGGGCAGTGGTGCTGCTCATTGGTAGCACTTCTGGCCACTTACTGTGGGCGTCCACCACAATCAGCCACATGTGCCCTTGGAACGGCCCGGCAAAATCAATGTGGAGACGCTGCCATGGCTTGGACGGCCACTCCCAGGGATGTAGCGGTGACTTCGGTGGCGCCGCCTGGTGTGCCTGACAGCCAAGGCAGGCCTTGCCGGTCTGCTCGATGTCTGTGTCGATGCCTGGCCACCATACAAAGCTGCGGGCTAGTGCTTTCATCCGAACCAGCCCAGGATGGCCACTGTGCAGCTCCTCCAGTACTCGGTGGCGCAGTGGGGAAGGAATGACGACACGGATTCCCCACATGACACACCCTTGGTGTAGGCCCAGCTCATCTTTGCGTCGTACAAACGGTTGCATGTCACCGTCGGTTGTTGACAGGGCCCGTCCGGTGCTGACACTGGTTAGGACCTTGGCGAGAACTGGGTCACGGTTTGTGTGACGCGCTATTTCCGCTGCCGTGACTGGAAGCGGGTCGATCTGGGCCATGTTGAACACGTCTGCCCAGTCTAGGCTCTCATCCTGTGGTGAGTGTGGCAACGGTAGGCGTGACAGGCCGTCAGCGTTTGCATGATCGGCTGATTTGCGGTACTTGATCTCATAATTCATGCTTGCTAGGAAGATAGCATACCGCTGTAGGCGGGCCGTCGTCATGGCTGGCAATCCCTTGCTAGGACTGAAGATGGCTGTCAGCGGCTCATGGTCCGTCAGCAGGACGAACGGTCGGCCAAACAGGTACGTGTGGAATTTGCGGACGCCCCAGACAATAGAGAGCGCCTCCTTATCGATCTGGGCGTACCGCTTCTCGGTGTCCGTCAGGGACCGTGACACGAAGGCAATCGGCCTTTCCGTACCATCCGGCATGATGTGCGAGAGCACCGCCCCCAGGCCATATGGTGATGCGTCGGTTGCCAACTGCACGGGCAGGTCGGCATCAAAGTGCATGAGGACCTGATCCGAGGCGATGGCTGCCTTGATAGCCTTGAATGCAGCCGCGCATTCCGCTGTCCAGCGCCAGGACTGACCCTTCCGGAGCAGGTTGTTGAGTGGATGCAGGGTCGTGGAGCAGTCTTTGAGGAAGCGCTGGTAGTAGCACACCATGCCCAAGAAGCTCCGTAGCTGGGACACGTTCTGCGGTGCTGGGGCTTCGTTGATAGCCTTGACCTTGCCATCAGTCTTGCGCAAGCCGTGGCGACTGACAATGTGTCCACAGTACTCGACTTGGTCTGCAAAGAACGTGCACTTGGCCGGGTTGACTCTCAGGCCGTGGTCCGACAGACGACTCAGGATGCTTTCCACATTGTCCAGGTGGTCATCGTCGTTGCGGCCGGTGACAATAATGTCGTCCAGTAGGCAGGCCTGGCTTGGGACGCCGTGCAAGATGCGGTCAATAGCCTGTTGCCAGAGCGCTGGGGCAGAGGCAACACCGAACCCGAGTCGGTTGAGCTGATACAGGCCCTTGTGCGTCGTGAGTGTGAGGAGTGGTTTGGATGCGTCATCCATCTCCATTTGGAGGTATGCCTGCTTTAGGTCGATTTTGGTGAATCGCTGGCCTCCAGCCAGGGTGGCGAAGACATCTTCCACGCGTGGTAGCGGGTGCTGGTCCACCTTCAGGTGTGGATTCAATGTGGCTTTGAAATCTCCACAGAGACGAACTGAGCCGTTGGGCTTCATCACAGGCACAATAGGTGTCGCCCACTCACTCCACTGTACCTTACTCACGATACCCAGACCTTCCAGCCTGTCCAGTTCAGCTTCCACCTTTGGCCGCATGGCGTAGGGCAATGGGCGCGCCTTGAGGAAGCGAGGGCTTGCATCGTCCTTCAGCTGGAGACGAGCCTTGGCGTCCTTGAGCTTGCCAAAGTCGTCGCTGAACACATCGGAGAATTTCTCCTTGAGCTGCTCAAGACGCGTACCTGCTGATCCTGGATGCTGCCGGCCAGGGGACACGGTTGCGGAGGGGACGTCAGCCATCTCGACCTGGAACAAGCGCTGCCAGTCGAGAGCGATGTGGGCAAGCAGGTCCCGGCCACAGCGCTGGCCCCTGCGTGTCCACCACATGCAGTGGTAGCTCCGCGGATTGATGGTAGTATTCCACGCGTGCTACGAACGTTCCGCGAGGATGCACGGGCTCGCCGGTGTACGTACGCAACTTCAGCTTGCTCGCGGTGAGAGGCGAGGCAGACAGCGACTTTCGATAAATCGCACTCGGAATGATTGACACCGCAGCTCCAGTGTCGACCTGCATGCGGACCGACTGGCCATTGACGATAGCATCAATCCAAAGTGCCTTCCGCACGGTCGTGGGTGTCGTTTCATCCGTGGCGACTGCTGGCGCTTGAAGGACGTCTGCGGCTAGAAGAGAAAGTGCGAACTCGTCGTCGTCCGCGACATCGACAGCTAAGCTGTGGCAGGCGCTGCTACCACTTGTGAATCTGTCGATCTTTCCGCGAGGCGCTTCTTGCAAACCTTGCGGAGGTGCCCAGTCTTCCTGCAGTGGCGGCATTCATATGCCTTGAAGGGACATTCACTTGCGCCGTGTGCCGTCGAGCCACAGCGGAAGCATGCTGAATAGCTCGTACGGGATTGACCTGAGTTCGCGGACTTCGCACCTCCGAACGATGGTCTGCCAGCACGACGATGTTGCGATGTGCCCAGAACGTGTACACCAGCAGCAGTGGCACTGCCCGCGAGCTCGGATGCATCGCGAGTAGCTACCTCCAGGCTGTTGGCTTTCTCGATGGCGGTCTTCAGAGTGAGGTCCTTCTCTGCCAACAGAACTTTGCAGAGAGCTTGACTCCTGATACCACACACGAACCGATCCCGCAGCGTGGTATCCAGGACATCGCCAAACTCACAGAATCGTGCCAACCGTCGGAGCTCCGCGAGGTAGGCATTTACTGACTCTCCTTGGCGTTGATCCCGCTTGTGGAAACGGTATCGTTCCGCGATCACCAAGGGCTTCGGAGCACAATGCGCAGCCAGCGCGTCGGACAGCTCCTTCAGCGTCTTGTCCTTCGGTTTGTCCGGGCTGACCAGGTCAGCCAACAGTTTGTAGGTCAAGCCACCAATCAGGGTCAGGAAGGTGGCTACTTGCCTGTCTTCGGCCACATTGTTGGCAGCGAAGTACTGCTCGACGCGGTCATAGTACGTAGACCAATCCGTCGTTCCAACCGAAAATGGTTCCATGGCTCCAATTGCAACGGCCATCTTCGTCGCCAGTTGTTGACTACAGCCACCAAGGCCAAAGAAGCATTGAATCATTCAATGTCCTCACAACACCGTGTCCTTGCACAGTTGGCGTGTATACCCCGCGGAGCATGATACATAGCAATTAAAAAAGGGTTTGCTCCCCCACTGGATCATGGAGCTCGCGCTTTTCAGCCGACTTGACTTGGCACTTGACTGACTCACGACTGCCATCCAGAGCACACTGGAAGTCCATCTAACCTTCGACTCGCAAA